CAGGACTGGTCATATGGGTATTGCAGCCTTGTGAAGCCACCGCAGCCCCAAACTTATGGGGTCTATGTAAAATTGTAAATATATTATAATTACTTTCCTTCAATAATACAATTTATACAAGTAAGATTACAGCCACGTGTCTTTTTGGATTAAAGGATGAGTCCCCATTACAAACCATTTTAATAAAGCAAAGCTATATGAAAACAAGATACTGAATTTTAGGGGGGAAAAGACAAGATATAAAAAAAATTTACTTTACATTAAAGTTTACTTTTCAGAATTTGGATTTGTTTAAAACTATATCTTATTATACAATTGAACAGAATCCATAAAATTACTGACATTTGATAACATTATAATTAACACATGTTAATTAACTGATTAGATTTTGACATATATCAGATATTTGAAATTAATAATCTCTTATTAATGTTTAAATTATGAAAATTTTCATTTTTTTACCTTTTTGCCATTTTGAATTGGAGATTGAAAGACATACAAATCAATTTAAAATTACTTTGTTTCTATTGAGTAAAAAAAAGTTGAAAATAAAATAATACTAATTGACTGATCAAATTCGAGATTAAAGTTTCGATGAAACCTCGATTAATTCATTATTTTCAAACTAATTTGATCACTTTAAATAAACCTATAGATTTTCTTGTGAACACAATTTCCATTGTCTTTGTCTTGGCTCTGGGTTCAAATTCAATTAAACATATACTTCATCCGTTTCACAATACTTGTCATTCTAGATTGTTTTAGGTATATTAAGGATTATTGTAATTTCTCTATTTTAACCTCACAAATAACATCAATTTACAAATTAATTATACTTAATTCATTTTCATTTCTCTTTTAATCATTGTATCGTAGCCTCTTAGTATTCTTCTCCATCAATGCATAATTAACAAATTTTAATACATTAAATATATTTATTTTGACTTGTTGACTATAAAAACATAATTGGAAGGAATCATCAAATTTTTACGTGAATAAAACAATCGAAGAAAAAAAACTAATGGAGGCAAATACTCAAATTCAAAACTTTTAACCTTTCTATATATCATTAATCTGTTTACTCGGATGAATTTCTTCTTCTTCGTAAGCTGCGATTTTGTTGAGATCGAAATCATGCACCACTTTGACATTAGCGTCAACCATTTTTTTTTTCATCATTTTTTTGTTCTCTACTTGCAGATATTTTCCAAATAGCTTTGCGATTTTGGTGTTCCTAAGAATACTCTTAAGACACCGTTTTGGATAACCGAACCATAGTAAACTAGTTATTATCCTGTTGACAAAAAAAAAA